TCTACGCTAAATTAATGGCGTGTAACAGTTTGCGCATGTGTGATGCGTGCGGCGCACAGGCTACACTTCAACCTGGGAATCCTATAGGTCGAGTCACAAGTCCCGTTCCTGTTAGAATTCTGTCACTACTGTTGGTATTGCCTGCGCGGTACCCCTCGTGAAAAGCACTGCCAGCATCATGCCAGCCAGTTGCAGCATAGAATTGTCCTCCAGGTGTTTGCTGCGCAGTTATTTTATATTAATAATCTTAACATTATTATAACAGTTACATGCACTACATGCCTATGCTTTCAGTCAGGGCAGAGTCACGGCTGATCATTTCTACTTTCCAACACTCCCATATCCTCCTTCGCATGGTCCACAGTAATCATGAGGATAGAATCCCAATATCACAGTGTCAGCTTCAGGAACACAGAATGTTTGATAACCTTGGCGAGGAATGTAGTGACAGACATATACCATATTGTCTTCTTCTCCCTCACATGGGAAGTCTTCTGCCAAACAGTAGGGGACATCTTCCTCATCGTTGCCATCATCTCCAAATGATTCACGAGTAAATGCCTCGTCATGCATACGGCGACGCTCTTCGCACATGTCATCCTTGTTACATGGAATGTCAATATCATATGTGCATAATCCAACAGTGACGCTAACGCTTTCGCTGACTGATGGATCTCCAGAACATTTTGCATGCATGATCATTTCATCCAAGTTGTTGTCGTTAATAACCTCAGTTTGAAGCACACCTGACTGATGAGTGAATTTCACTGTCTGAGCTGCATTAGCACGGAACTGAACAGAAGAAGTTTCATCATCATCTGCAGCTTTGCGAATCATTGTGATAGGCATAAAATTGGTGGCGCATTCTGAGCCAGAAGCATGCTTTACAACTGGCCCACTGAAGCATCCCGTGTACGAGGAAATGGATGCAGCGGAAGCAGACATACTTTGTCCTGCAGTATCATCTTGTTCGCCTGAGGTTGGACCAGACGTTGGAGATGAGGTTGGTGCCGATGTCGGACCAGAAGTTGGGGCAAACGTTGGGCTTGATGTAGGACCAGAAGTTGGTGATGTGGTTGGGCTTGAAGTCGGAGCAGAAGTAGGTCCAAAAGTTGGACTAGATGTAGGACCACTGGTTGGGCCTGATGTTGGTTCGCTAGTCGGTACAGTGGTAGGTCCAGAAGTAGGTACCGAGGTGGGTGCAGAAGTTGGAATGCTGGTTGGTCCAGAAGTAGGTGCGGTGGTCGGTCCAGATGTTGGTTGACTGGTTGGTCCAGATGTAGGTCCGGAAGTTGGTCCAGTGGTAGGTAGAGATGTTGGTCCACCAGTTGGGCCATCAGTCGGAGCTGAGGTGGGCCGGCTAGTTGGACCGGATGTTGGATCAGATGTTGGTCCACTGGTTGGCCCTGAAGTTGGACCGCTGGTTGGATCAGATGTAGGTCCAGATGTAGGTCCAGATGTAGGTCCAGATGTTGGACCAGAGGTAGGTCCTGAAGTTGGGCCTTCCGTAGGGGCAGATGTAGGTCCACTTGTTGGTTCAGATGTTGGACCAGAGGTGGGTCCTGAAGTGGGCCCGGTCGTTGGACCACTTGTCGGTCCTGCAGTGGGACCGCTAGTTGGTTCACTTGTGGGGCCGGAAGTTGGTAGAGAAGTTGGTCCTCCAGTCGGTCCTTCAGTGGGAGCAGATGTGGGTTCGGATCCAACAGTCGGGCCACTGGTTGGGCCACTTGTTGGATCAGTTGTCGGTGTGCTAGTTGGGCCATCTGTTGGTGCCGAAGTTGGACTGGACGTTGGGCCGCTAGTTGGTCCAGAGGTAGGACCTGAGGTTGGTTCGCTAGTTGGCCCTGATGTAGGTCCAGAAGTGGGTCCAAGGGTAGGTCCAGAAGTAGGTCCTGAGGTAGGGCCAGAGGTAGGTCCACTTGTGGGTCCTGAAGTTGGGCCTGAGGTAGGTCCCGAAGTAGGTCCACTTGTTGGTCCTGATGTAGGTCCAGACGTTGGTCCGCTAGTTGGAAGACTTGTTGGTCCACCAGTTGGGCCGTCAGTTGGAGCAGAAGTTGGGCCGCTAGTAGGTCCACTAGTTGGTTCGCCAGTAGGTCCTGATGTGGGTCCACTGGTGGGTCCTGATGTGGGTCCACTGGTGGGTCCTGAGGTCGGTCCACTGGTGGGTTCAGAGGTAGGTCCACTAGATGGCCCTGAAGTTGGCTTGCTTGTGGGCCCAGAGGTAGGTCCAGAGGTGGGTCCCGAAGTAGGGCCAGAGGTAGGTCCAGAGGTGGGTCCGGAAGTAGGGCCAGATGTTGGTCCACTGGTTGGTCCAGAAGTAGGACCTGACGTTGGCCCACTGGTTGGTCTAGAAGTTGGTCCAGAAGTGGGTCTGCTTGTGGGCCCAGAGGTGGGAACAGATGTGGGTTCACTAGTTGGACCACTGGTTGGTCCAGAAGTTGGACCGGAAGTGGGTAAGGAAGTTGGTCCCCCAGTTGGACCTCCTGTAGGCTTTGCTGTTGGCTCTAATGTAGGTGCAGATGTTGGTCCAGATGTCGGGTGCGAGGTGGGGCTTGAAGTAGGTCCAGATGTAGGTCCAGATGTAGGTCCGGATGTTGGTCCCAAAGTAGGTCCACTGGTAGGTCCGGATGTTGGTCCCGAAGTTGGTCCAGAAGTTGGTCCCGAAGTAGGTTCACTGGTAGGTCCGGATGTTGGTCCCGAAGTTGGTCCCGAAGTAGGTTCACTGGTAGGTCCGGATGTTGGTCCAGAAGTAGGTCCTGAGGTAGGGCCAGAAGTTGGGCCAGAGGTAGGGCCAGAGGTAGGTCCAGAGGTAGGTCCAGATGTTGGTCCAGATGTTGGTCCAGAAGTAGGTCCAGACGTTGGTCCTGAAGTTGGGCCCGAAGTAGGTCCTGATGTGGGTCCAGAGGTAGGTCCAGACGTTGGTCCGCTAGTTGGAAGACTTGTTGGTCCACCAGTTGGGCCGTCAGTTGGAGCAGAAGTTGGGCCGCTAGTAGGTCCACTAGTTGGTTCGCCAGTAGGTCCTGATGTGGGTCCACTGGTGGGTCCTGATGTGGGTCCAGAGGTCGGTCCACTGGTGGGTCCAGAGGTAGGTCCACTAGATGGCCCTGAAGTTGGTCCGCTTGTAGGACCTGACGTAGGTCCAGAAGTAGGCCCACTGGTGGGTCCAGAGGTAGGCCCACTGGTAGGACCTGATGTAGGCCCACTGGTAGGACCTGATGTAGGCCCACTGGTAGGACCTGATGTAGGTCCAGAAGTAGGCCCACTGGTAGGTCCAGATGTGGGTCTGCTGGTTGGTCCTGAAGTAGGTCCAGATGTGGGTCCGCTAGTTGGAAGACTTGTTGGTCCACCAGTTGGGCCGTCAGTTGGAGCAGAAGTTGGTCCGCTAGTAGGTCCACTTGTTGGCTTGCCTGTAGGTCCACTGGTTGGTCCACTGGTTGGTCCGCTAGTGGGTTCTGAGGTAGGGCCACTTGTTGGTTCACTGGTTGGTTCACTGGTTGGTTCACTGGTTGGTCCAGAAGTTGGTCCACTGGTTGGTCCAGAAGTTGGTCCGCTGGTTGGTCCAGAGGTAGGTCCGCTGGTTGGTCCAGAGGTTGGTCCAGAGGTTGGTCCAGAGGTAGGTCCAGAGGTAGGTCCGCTGGTTGGTCCAGAGGTAGGACCTGATGTTGGCCCAGTTGTTGGTCCTGAAGTAGGTCCCGATGTTGGTCCACTTGTAGGTGTACTGGTTGGTCCAGATGTGGGCTCACTGGTTGGTCCGCTAGTAGGTCCAGAAGTGGGGCCTGATGTGGGCAAGGAAGTTGGTCCACCAGTTGGCCCTCCTGTAGGTTCCGACGTTGGTTCTAAGGTTGGAGCAGATGTGGGCCCAGAGGTCGGTGCCGATGTCGGGCTTGAGGTTGGTCCCACAGTAGGACCGCTGGTAGGTCCAGAAGTTGGGACGCTAGTTGGACCAGAAGTAGGCCCTGAAGTTGGGACGCTAGTTGGACCAGAAGTAGGCCCTGAGGTTGGGACGCTAGTTGGACCAGAAGTAGGCCCTGAGGTTGGGACGCTAGTTGGACCAGAAGTAGGCCCTGAGGTTGGTCCACTGGTTGGTTCAGAAGTAGGTCCACTAGTAGGCCCCGAAGTAGGTCCACTGGTAGGCCCTGAAGTAGGTCCACTGGTAGGCCCTGAAGTAGGTCCACTGGTAGGCCCTGAAGTAGGTCCACTTGTAGGTCCACTTGTCGGTCCGGAAGTGGGTCCTGAAGTAGGCCCACTAGTTGGTCCTGTCGTTGGCCCAGAGGTAGGCCCACTAGTTGGTAGACTGGTCGGGCCTGAAGTTGGTCCAGAAGTTGGACCAGATGTAGGTAGACTAGTGGGTCCTCCAGTAGGTCCAGATGTAGGCCTGCTAGTAGGTCCAGATGTAGGTCCAGATGTAGGTCCTGAGGTTGGTCTGCTAGTAGGTCCAGATGTAGGTCCGCTAGTTGGTCCTGAGGTTGGTCCTGAGGTTGGTCCTGAGGTTGGTCCAGATGTTGGTCCCGAGGTGGGTCCAGATGTGGGTCCAGATGTGGGTCCAGATGTGGGTCCCGAGGTGGGTCCCGAGGTGGGTCCAGATGTTGGTCCTGAGGTAGGTCCAGATGTTGGTCCCGAGGTAGGTCCAGATGTTGGTCCAGATGTTGGTCCTGAGGTTGGCCCACTTGTTGGTCCAGAAGTTGGGCCACTAGTTGGTCCCGAGGTTGGACCGCTTGTAGGTCCAGAAGTAGGTCCACTGGTAGGTCCTGCAGTTGGCCCAGAGGTAGGCCCACTAGTTGGTAGACTAGTTGGGCCTGAAGTTGGTCCAGAAGTTGGACCAGATGTAGGTAGACTAGTGGGTCCTCCAGTAGGTGCAGATGTAGGCTCGCTAGTAGGTCCAGAAGTTGGGCCGCTTGTTGGAACAGATGTGGGTCCAGAAGTTGGTCCAGAAGTTGGTCCAGAAGTGGGTCCAGAAGTGGGCCCAGAAGTTGGTCCCGAGGTGGGTCCAGAAGTTGGTCCTGAGGTGGGTCCAGAAGTTGGTCCTGAGGTGGGTCCAGAAGTTGGTCCAGAAGTTGGTCCTGAGGTGGGTCCAGATGTTGGTCCTGAGGTTGGCCCACTGGTTGGTCCAGAGGTTGGCCCCGAGGTTGGACCGCTAGTGGGTCCAGAAGTAGGTCCGCTTGTAGGTCCACTGGTAGGTCCTGCAGTTGGCCCAGAGGTTGGTCCACTGGTTGGCCCAGAGGTTGGTCCACTGGTTGGCGCAGAAGTTGGTCCCGATGTAGGACCACTTGTGGGTCCAGATGTTGGTACTGAAGTTGGCCCACTTGTAGGTCCACTTGTAGGTCCACTTGTAGGTATCGATGTTGGGCCACCAGTTGGTCCTCCTGTTGGAGCAGAAGTTGGTCCTGATGTTGGAGGGGGTTCGACTGGCCAGTGTACACCGTCAGGTGGCGGGGTCTTATCATCATCGTAACAAATCTTAACACCGCACAAAGCACCAGCTTTCACAAATTGGATTTGGACAACAACAACGTTCAAGGTTTCAAGATTCACAGCCACCTTGCTGTTGCCAGAAGAAGCAGCAGCAGCTTCGACAACCATTGATGTCTCAATATATTCGCCATCAACAAAAGTTGTTACTGTGATTGTTGCGCCATCTCCGTTCCATAGTTCCAGCTCAAAAAACTCGTCAACTTCAGGAGAAAATGTCAACACAACTTGCCCCCCTTCAATGAAATCTACTTCTTCTGGATTTCCAATTGGAGCTGTTTCATAACTGTTGACAACAGCGAGGCAAACAGCACCATCACCGATGTTCACAAAGGATGCTTCGTCAGAAACAGCACCCACACCATTGCCATTGACATTAACCTTAAAGCCATAGAGGATGTAATCATCCACTCCTACGGCTGTGTTTGCTTCAGTCGCTTGTAATTGGTCATTGTAAGTGAAGTCCACGTAAACATAGTCACAGACTCTGGTTGGAGAGCTGGTAGGTCCAGATGTTGGCGTTGAGGTAGGTTCGCTTGTTGGACCACTAGTTGGCCCAGAAGTTGGTGCTGATGTTGGGCTGGAAGTTGGACCACTGGTAGGCCCAGAAGTTGGTCCAGAAGTAGGGACACTGGTTGGTCCGCTAGTTGGCCCACTGGTTGGCCCACTGGTTGGCCCGCTAGTTGGTCCGCTAGTTGGTCCAGATGTTGGTCCAGATGTTGGCCCGCTAGTTGGTCTGCTAGTTGGTCCGCTAGTTGGTCCAGAAGTTGGACCACTGGTTGGTCCAGATGTCGGTCCAGAAGAAGGACCACTTGTTGGTCCAGATGTTGGACTGCTGGTTGGTACAGATGTAGGACCAGAAGTAGGGCCAGAAGTAGGGCCACTAGTTGGTACAGATGTTGGTCCACTGGTGGGTTCAGATGTGGGCACACTGGTTGGCCCGCTTGTCGGTCCTGAAGTTGGTCCGCTTGTTGGAAGAGACGTTGGTCCTCCAGTTGGAGCTGAAGTAGGTCGACTTGTTGGTCCTGAGGTTGGTGTTGAAGTAGGACCAGATGTAGGTCCAGAGGTAGGCCTGCTTGTTGGTTCAGAAGTTGGGCCGCTGGTAGGTCCAGAAGTAGGTCCAGAAGTTGGGCCACTGGTAGGTCCAGAAGTTGGGCCGCTGGTAGGTCCAGAAGTAGGTCCAGAAGTTGGGCTGCTGGTAGGTCCAGAAGTAGGTCCAGAAGTTGGGCCGCTGGTAGGTCCAGAAGTAGGTCCAGAAGTTGGGCCGCTGGTAGGTTCAGAAGTAGGTCCCGATGTTGGTGCACTTGTGGGTCCAGAAGTAGGTCCTGATGTTGGTCCACTTGTGGGTCCAGATGTTGGTCCTGATGTTGGTCCACTTGTGGGTCCAGATGTTGGTCCTGATGTTGGTCCGCGGGTGGGACCAGAAGTAGGCCCACTGGTTGGTCCTGAAGTTGGTGTTGAGGTAGGCCCACTGGTGGGTCCAGATGTAGGCAAACTAGTGGGCCCTCCAGTAGGCCCTGTTGTTGGACCAGAAGTTGGTCGACTAGTTGGGCCTGACGTGGGTTCAGAAGTTGGTCCAGAAGTTGGAGCGCTAGTAGGACCTGAGGTAGGTACCGATGTAGGACCACTGGTAGGTCCAGAAGTTGGTCCCGAGGTGGGTCCAGATGTTGGTCCGGCTGTAGGGCCAGAAGTTGGTCCGGAAGTAGGACCGCTGGTTGGTCCGGAAGTAGGACCGCTGGTTGGTCCGGAAGTAGGACCGCTGGTTGGTCCGGAAGTAGGACCGCTGGTAGGTCCGGAAGTAGGACCGCTGGTAGGTCCGGAAGTAGGACCGCTGGTAGGTCCGGAAGTAGGACCGCTGGTAGGTCCGGAAGTAGGACCGCTGGTAGGTCCGGAAGTAGGACCGCTGGTGGGTCCAGAAGTAGGACCGCTGGTGGGTCCAGAAGTAGGACCGCTGGTCGGTCCAGAAGTAGGACCGCTGGTGGGTCCAGAAGTAGGACCGCTGGTGGGTAGACTTGTTGGTCCTCCGGTTGGTCCACCAGTTGGAGCCGATGTGGGTCCACTGGTAGGTCCAGATGTAGGTTCAGATGTAGGTCCTGTAGTTGGCCCACTGGTAGGTCCAGACGTAGGTCCAGATGTTGGCCCACTGGTAGGTCCAGACGTAGGTCCAGATGTTGGCCCACTGGTAGGTCCAGACGTAGGTCCAGATGTTGGCCCACTGGTTGGGCCTGATGTTGGTCCGGATGTGGGACCACTGGTTGGTTCAGAAGTAGGTCCACTAGTGGGTCCAGAAGTAGGACCGCTGGTTGGTCCAGAAGTAGGACCGCTGGTTGGACCTGAGGTAGGCTGAGAAGTTGGACTGCTAGTAGGACCGCTGGTTGGTCCGGAAGTTGGTCCACTTGTAGGACCACTTGTAGGACCGGAGGTTGGTCTACTGGTAGGTCCAGAAGTAGGTCCAGAAGTAGGTCCAGAAGTAGGTCCTAACGTGGGTCCCGAAGTAGGTGTAGATGTAGGACTGGAAGTAGGTCCAGAGGTAGGTCCAGAGGTCGGACCTGAAGTTGGTCCAGATGTAGGAAGTGAAGTTGGACCACCAGTGGGTCCATCTGTGGGTGCTGATGTGGGCCCAGAGGTAGGTGTAGAAGTAGGTTCACCTGTTGGACCACTGGTTGGTCCGGAGGTTGGATGACTTGTTGGACTGCTAGTTGGCCCAGAAGTAGGCCCGCTAGTTGGCCCAGATGTTGGTCCGCTAGTTGGCCCAGATGTTGGTCCGCTAGTTGGCCCAGATGTTGGTCCAGAAGTAGGCCCGCTAGTTGGCCCAGATGTTGGTCCGCTAGTTGGCCCAGATGTTGGCCCAGATGTTGGTCCGCTAGTTGGTCCAGATGTTGGTCCAGATGTTGGTCCAGATGTTGGTCCAGATGTTGGTCCAGATGTTGGTCCAGATGTTGGTCCAGATGTTGGTCCAGATGTTGGTCCGCTAGTTGGTCCAGATGTTGGTCCGCTAGTTGGTCCAGATGTTGGTCCGCTAGTTGGTCCAGATGTTGGTCCGCTAGTTGGTCCAGATGTTGGTCCAGATGTTGGTCCGCTAGTGGGTAGACTTGTTGGGCCTCCGGTGGGTCCTCCAGTTGGAGCCGAAGTAGGTCCAGAAGTAGGTCCAGATGTAGGTCCAGAAGTAGGTTCACTGGTAGGTGCTGACGTTGGCCCACTGGTTGGTCCAGATGTTGGCCCACTGGTTGGGCCAGAAGTCGGTCCAGATGTTGGCCCAGAAGTTGGTGCAGAAGTTGGCCCAGAAGTTGGTCCTGAGGTAGGTCCACTGGTGGGTCCAGAAGTAGGTCCACTGGTGGGTCCAGAAGTAGGTCCACTGGTGGGTCCAGATGTAGGCCCACTGGTGGGTCCAGATGTAGGCCCACTGGTGGGTCCAGAAGTTGGTCCACTGGTGGGTCCCGAAGTTGGTCCACTGGTGGGTCCAGAGGTAGGTCCCGAAGTTGGCCCACTAGTTGGTCCTGAAGTTGGCCCACTAGTTGGTCCTGAAGTTGGCCCAGAAGTTGGCCCACTAGTTGGTACAGATGTTGGACCAGAGGTAGGTCCACTTGTAGGTCCCGAAGTTGGTATAGATGTTGGTCCACTGGTAGGGCCTGAAGTAGGTCCTTCGGTTTCACAAATCTCATAACAATCAAGCTCCACCGATAGAGCCAAATAGTCATCAAGATTATCAGGAGGTGCGCAGTAGTCACAGTCTGTGTCGTCACTCTCACAGAAATGGAGGTAAATCTTCACTGTAGCCTTTCCTCCTATACAAACTGCTGTGTATGTTTCGCTCCATTCAGTGCTGACATCAGAGTTCACGTCACAAGCAATATCCACAGGGCCTCGATTGTAGTTTAAGGCCACCTTCTTGATGATACCATCGTAGAAGTTTTGGATAATCTTGAAAGTAACTTCGTCTCCATCTTGACTCTGATCAATAATCTGAATCGGCAAATCATCCTCCTCCAAATCAATCATGTTGTGTTTGTCAGCACACTCCTTGGGTCCATTACCAGTCTCCCCAACCAGGTTTTCCTCAGCCCTGTAGATGCAAGGGCTTGGGGGGCTACTTGTTGTGGGTCCAGATGTGGGTCCCGATGTAGGTCCAGATGTTGGTCCGCTAGTGGGACCGGAGGTTGGTCCACTTGTAGGACCAGATGTTGGTTGGCTAGTTGGACCAGAGGAAGGTCCACTTGTAGGACCAGAGGAAGGTCCACTCGTAGGACCAGACGTTGGCCCCGAGGTAGGTCCACTAGTAGGTCCAGATGTTGGTCCAGAGGTAGGGCCACTAGTAGGTCCGGACGTAGGTCCGGAAGTTGGTCCAGAGGTAGGGCCAGATGTTGGACCACTAGTAGGTCCCGAAGTAGGACCACTAGTTGGTCCTGAAGTAGGTCCAGAAGTAGGACCACTAGTCGGTCCAGATGTAGGTCCAGATGTAGGTCCAGATGTTGGTCCACTAGTTGGCCCAGACGTAGGTCTGCTTGTCGGTCCGGATGTTGGACCACTGGTAGGTCCACTGGTTGGTCCAGATGTTGGGCCACTGGTAGGTCCACTTGTGGGTCCAGATGTAGGGCCAGAAGTTGGTCCAGATGTTGGACCAGAGGTAGGTAGTGAAGTTGGGCCGCCAGTGGGTCCGTCTGTGGGACCAGATGTGGGACCAGATGTAGGTCCTGATGTAGGTTGGCCTGTGGGACCGCTGGTTGGTCCAGAAGTGGGCTGACTTGTTGGGCTGCTGGTTGGACCAGATGTAGGCCCACTGGTAGGTCCAGATGTTGGTCCGCTGGTTGGTCCACTGGTAGGTCTAGAAGTAGGTCCAGAAGTTGGCCCTGATGTAGGTCCACTGGTAGGTCCAGAAGTTGGTCCAGAAGTTGGTCCAGAAGTAGGTCCAGATGTTGGCCCTGAAGTTGGCCCTGAAGTAGGTCCAGATGTTGGCCCTGAAGTAGGCCCTGAAGTAGGTCCAGATGTTGGCCCTGAAGTAGGCCCTGAAGTAGGTCCAGATGTTGGCCCTGAAGTAGGCCCTGAAGTAGGTCCAGAAGTCGGCCCTGATGTAGGTCCAGAAGTTGGCCCTGATGTAGGTCCAGATGTAGGTCCAGATGTAGGTCCAGATGTAGGTCCAGATGTAGGTCCAGATGTAGGTCCAGAAGTTGGTCCAGATGTTGGTCCAGATGTTGGTCCAGATGTTGGTCCAGATGTTGGTCCGCTAGTAGGTAGACTGGTTGGTCCACTAGTTGGTCCTGATGTAGGTCCACTTGTTGGTAGACTTGTTGGACCTCCTGTTGGCCCTGCAGTGGGAGCAGATGTTGGGCCAGAAGTGGGTCCGCTGGTAGGTACCGAGGTAGGCCCAGATGTTGGACCCGAAGTTGGACCACTTGTAGGGGCAGATGTTGGTCCACTGGTTGGTCCACTGGTTGGTCCACTGGTTGGCCCAGATGTTGGTCCACTGGTTGGCCCGGAGGTAGGTCCACTGGTTGGCCCAGATGTTGGCCCGGAGGTAGGTCCACTTGTAGGACCTGACGTAGGGCCAGATGTTGGCCCAGAGGTAGGGCCTGAAGTTGGTCCAGAGGTGGGGCCAGAAGTAGGACCACTAGTAGGTCCTGAAGTAGGTCCTGAAGTAGGTCCAGATGTTGGTCCACTAGTCGGTCCAGATGTAGGTCCAGATGTTGGTCCACTAGTTGGCCCAGACGTAGGTCTGCTTGTCGGTCCGGATGTTGGACCACTGGTAGGTCCACTGGTAGGTCCACTGGTTGGTCCAGATGTTGGGCCACTGGTTGGTCCAGATGTTGGGCCACTGGTAGGTCCACTTGTGGGTCCAGATGTAGGGCCAGAAGTTGGTCCAGATGTTGGACCAGAGGTAGGTAGTGAAGTTGGGCCGCCAGTGGGTCCGTCTGTGGGACCAGATGTGGGACCAGATGTAGGTCCTGATGTAGGTTGGCCTGTGGGACCGCTGGTTGGTCCAGAAGTGGGCTGACTTGTTGGGCTGCTGGTTGGACCAGATGTAGGCCCACTGGTAGGTCCAGATGTTGGTCCGCTGGTTGGTCCACTGGTAGGTCTAGAAGTAGGTCCAGAAGTTGGCCCTGATGTAGGTCCACTGGTAGGTCCAGAAGTTGGTCCAGAAGTTGGTCCAGAAGTAGGTCCAGATGTTGGCCCTGAAGTTGGCCCTGAAGTAGGTCCAGATGTTGGCCCTGAAGTAGGCCCTGAAGTAGGTCCAGATGTTGGCCCTGAAGTAGGCCCTGAAGTAGGTCCAGATGTTGGCCCTGAAGTAGGCCCTGAAGTAGGTCCAGAAGTCGGCCCTGATGTAGGTCCAGAAGTTGGCCCTGATGTAGGTCCAGATGTAGGTCCAGATGTAGGTCCAGATGTAGGTCCAGATGTAGGTCCAGATGTAGGTCCAGAAGTTGGTCCAGATGTTGGTCCAGATGTTGGTCCAGATGTTGGTCCAGATGTTGGTCCGCTAGTAGGTAGACTGGTTGGTCCACTAGTTGGTCCTGATGTAGGTCCACTTGTTGGTAGACTTGTTGGACCTCCTGTTGGCCCTGCAGTGGGAGCAGATGTTGGGCCAGAAGTGGGTCCGCTGGTAGGTACCGAGGTAGGCCCAGATGTTGGACCCGAAGTTGGACCACTTGTAGGGGCAGATGTTGGTCCACTGGTTGGTCCACTGGTTGGTCCACTGGTTGGCCCAGATGTTGGTCCACTGGTTGGCCCGGAGGTAGGTCCACTGGTTGGCCCAGATGTTGGCCCGGAGGTAGGTCCACTTGTAGGACCTGACGTAGGGCCAGATGTTGGCCCAGAGGTAGGGCCTGAAGTTGGTCCAGAGGTGGGGCCAGAAGTAGGACCACTAGTAGGTCCTGAAGTAGGTCCTGAAGTAGGTCCAGATGTTGGTCCACTAGTCGGTCCAGATGTAGGTCCAGATGTTGGTCCACTAGTTGGCCCAGACGTAGGTCTGCTTGTCGGTCCGGATGTTGGACCACTGGTAGGTCCACTGGTAGGTCCACTGGTTGGTCCAGATGTTGGGCCACTGGTTGGTCCAGATGTTGGGCCACTGGTAGGTCCACTTGTGGGTCCAGATGTAGGGCCAGAAGTTGGTCCAGATGTTGGACCAGAGGTAGGTAGTGAAGTTGGGCCGCCAGTGGGTCCGTCTGTGGGACCAGATGTGGGACCAGATGTAGGTCCTGATGTAGGTTGGCCTGTGGGACCGCTGGTTGGTCCAGAAGTGGGCTGACTTGTTGGGCTGCTGGTTGGACCAGATGTAGGCCCACTGGTAGGTCCAGATGTTGGTCCGCTGGTTGGTCCACTGGTAGGTCTAGAAGTAGGTCCAGAAGTTGGCCCTGATGTAGGTCCACTGGTAGGTCCAGAAGTTGGTCCAGAAGTTGGTCCAGAAGTAGGTCCAGATGTTGGCCCTGAAGTTGGCCCTGAAGTAGGTCCAGATGTTGGCCCTGAAGTAGGCCCTGAAGTAGGTCCAGATGTTGGCCCTGAAGTAGGCCCTGAAGTAGGTCCAGATGTTGGCCCTGAAGTAGGCCCTGAAGTAGGTCCAGAAGTCGGCCCTGATGTAGGTCCAGAAGTTGGCCCTGATGTAGGTCCAGATGTAGGTCCAGATGTAGGTCCAGATGTAGGTCCAGATGTAGGTCCAGATGTAGGTCCAGAAGTTGGTCCAGATGTTGGTCCAGATGTTGGTCCAGATGTTGGTCCAGATGTTGGTCCGCTAGTAGGTAGACTGGTTGGTCCACTAGTTGGTCCTGATGTAGGTCCACTTGTTGGTAGACTTGTTGGACCTCCTGTTGGCCCTCCAGTGGGAGCAGATGTTGGGCCAGAAGTTGGTCCGCTGGTAGGTACCGAGGTAGGCCCAGATGTTGGACCCGAAGTTGGACCACTGGTAGGTCCGGAAGTAGGGCCACTTGTGGGGGCAGATGTTGGTCCACTGGTTGGTCCACTGGTTGGCCCAGATGTTGGTCCACTGGATGGCCCAGATGTTGGTCCACTGGTTGGCCCGGAGGTAGGTCCACTGGTTGGCCCAGATGTTGGCCCTGAGGTGGGTCCACTTGTAGGACCTGACGTAGGGCCAGATGTTGGCCCAGAGGTAGGGCCTGAAGTTGGTCCAGAGGTGGGGCCAGAAGTAGGACCACTAGTAGGTCCTGAAGTAGGTCCAGATGTTGGTCCACTAGTTGGCCCAGAAGTAGGTCCGCTTGTTGGTCCGGATGTTGGACCATTGGTAGGTCCGCTTGTGGGTCCAGATGTTGGACCACTGGTAGGTCCTGACGTAGGTCCACTTGTGGGTCCAGATGTAGGGCCAGAAGTTGGTCCAGATGTTGGCCCAGAAGTTGGACCAGATGTAGGTAGTGAAGTTGGGCCGCCAGTGGGACCAGATGTGGGACCAGATGTGGGACCAGATGTTGGTCGTGATGTAGGTTGGCCTGTGGGACCGCTGGTTGGTCCGGAAGTAGGCTGACTTGTTGGGCTGCTGGTGGGACCAGATGTAGGCCCACTGGTCGGCCCGCTGGTAGGTCCAGATGTTGGTCCGCTGGTAGGTCCAGAGGTTGGCCCAGAAGTAGGTCCACTGGTAGGTCCAGATGTTGGTCCGCTGGTAGGTCCAGAGGTTGGCCCAGTAGTAGGTCCACTGGTAGGTCCAGATGTTGGTCCGCTGGTAGGTCCAGAGGTTGGCCCAGAAGTAGGTCCACTGGTAGGCCCAGAAGTAGGTCCACTGGTAGGTCCAGAAGTAGGTCCACTGGTAGGTCCACTGGTAGGTCCACTGGTAGGTCCAGAAGTAGGTCCACTGGTAGGTCCAGAAGTTGGTCCAGAAGTAGGTCCTGATGTAGGTCCAGAAGTAGGTCCACTAGTTGGTCCTGATGTAGGTCCACTTGTTGGTAGACTTGTTGGGCCTCCTGTTGGTCCTCCAGTGGGAGCAGATGTTGGACCAGAAGTGGGTCCGCTGGTAGGTCCCAAAGTAGGTCCAGATGTTGGACCAGAGGTTGGACCACTGGTAGGTCCGGAAGTAGGGCCACTTGTGGGGGCCGATGTTGGCCCAGAGGTAGGTCCACTTGTAGGACCAGATGTTGGTCCGCTGGTAGGTCCGCTGGTAGGTCCGCTGGTTGGTCCAGATGTAGGCCCAGAGGTAGGCCCAGAGGTAGGTCCGCTGGTTGGTCCAGATGTAGGCCCAGAGGTAGGTCCGCTGGTTGGTCCAGATGTAGGCCCAGAGGTAGGTCCGCTGGTTGGTCCAGATGTTGGCCCAGACGTAGGGCGGCTTGTTGGTCCACTGGTTGGCCCAGACGTAGGGCCGCTTGTTGGTCCACTGGTAGGTCCGCTTGTTGGTCCACTGGTAGGTCCACTGCTTGGCCCACTTGTGGGTCGAGAAGTAGGACGGCTAGTTGGCCCAGTTGTGGGCCCAGAAGTCGGGCCTGTAGTTGGACCAGATGTTGGCAGCGAAGTGGGACCACCGGTAGGCCCCCCTGTAGGTTCGGATGTAGGTCCAGATGTAGGTTGGCTTGTTGGACCACTGGTTGGTCCAGAAGTAGGATGGCTCGTTGGGCTACCGGTTGGGCCAGAAGTAGGGCCGCTTGTTGGGCCGGAAGTAGGTCCGCTTGTTGGTCCGGAGGTAGGACCGCTTGTTGGTCCAGAGGTTGGTCCGCTAGTAGGACCGCTTGTTGGTCCGGAGGTTGGTCCGCTGGTAGGTCCAGAAGTTGGACCGGAAGTAGGTGCGCTAGTAGGTCCAGAAGTAGGTCCACTAGTAGGTCCAGAAGTTGGACCAGAAGTTGGACCAGAAGTTGGACCAGAAGTAGGTCCGCTAGTTGGTCCAGAAGTTGGTCCAGAAGTTGGACCAGAAGTAGGTCCGCTAGTTGGTCCAGAAGTAGGTCTGCTAGTTGGTCCACTTGTCGGTCCAGAAGTAGGACCGCTTGTCGGTCCCGATGTGGGCCCACTGGTTGGTCCTGACGTAGGTCCGCTTGTAGGTAGACTTGTTGGCCCACTGGTTGGTCCAGATGTAGGTCCACTTGTCGGTAGACTTGTTGGACCTCCAGTTGGTCCTGAAGTTGGAGCAGAAGTAGGACCACTGGTTGGGTCAGAAGTTGGACCAGATGTAGGTCCTGATGTGGGTGCACTGGTTGGTCCAGATGTAGGCCCTGAAGTGGGTCCAGATGTAGGCCCTGAAGTGGGTCCAGATGTAGGCCCTGAAGTGGGTCCAGATGTAGGCCCTGAAGTGGGTCCAGATGTAGGCCCTGAAGTGGGTCCAGATGTAGGCCCTGACGTGGGTCCAGATGTAGGCCCTGACGTGGGGCCGCTAGTTGGTCCAGATGTAGGCCCAGAAGTAGGGCCGCTTGTAGGTCCTGAGGTAGGACCAGAAGTGGGGCCACTGGTCGGCCCCAATGTCGGACCAGAAGTAGGCCCAGAAGTTGGACCACTAGTTGGTGCAGAAGTAGGCATGCTAGTTGGTCCACTTGTGGGTCCAGAGGTAGGTCCAGAAGTAGGCAGGCTAGTTGGTCCTCCTGTTGGTCCTCCAGTTGGAGCTGAAGTAGGTCCAGAAGTTGGTCCAGAGGTAGGTCCGGAAGTTGGTCCAGAGGTCGGTCCAGAAGTTGGTCCAGAGGTAGGTCCGGAAGTTGGTCCAGAGGTCGGTCCAGAAGTTGGTCCTGAGGTAGGTCCAGAAGTTGGTCCACTTGTGGGTCCAGAGGTCGGTCCACTTGTGGGTCCAGAAGTAGGTCCAGATGTTGGACCGGTAGTAGGCCCAGAGGTAGGCCCAGAGGTAGGCCCAGATGTTGGACCGGTAGTAGGCCCAGAGGTAGGTCCAGATGTTGGACCGGTAGTAGGCCCAGATGTAGGCCCGCTAGTGGGTACAGATGTTGGACCAGTAGTAGGCCCAGATGTTGGACCAGTAGTAGGCCCAGATGTTGGACCACTTGTTGGCTCAGAAGTAGGTCCCGAGGTAGGTCCGGTAGTTGGTCCTTCGGTTTCACAAATCTCATAACAATCAAGCTCCACCGATAGAGCCAAGTAGTCGTCCATGTTATCAGGGACAGCACAGTAGTCGCAGTCTGTGTCGTCACTCTCACAGAAATGGAGATAAATCTTCACTGTAGCCTTTCCTCCTATACAAACTGCTGTGTATGTTTCGCTCCATTCAGTGCTGACATCAGAGTTCACGTCACAAGCAATATCCACAGGGCCTCGATTGTAGTTTAAGGCCACCTTCTTGATGATACCATCGTAGAAGTTTTGGATAATCTTGAAAGTAACTTCGTCTCCATCTTGACTCTGATCAATAATCTGAATCGGCAAATCATCCTCATCCAAATCAATCATGTTGTCTTTATCAGCACACTCCTCGGGTCCATTACCAATCTCCCCCACAATTTTTTCCTCAGCTTTGTAGATGCAAGGACTTGGAGGACTACTGATGGTGGGTCCAGATGTAGGTCCACTGGTGGGTTCGGAGGTAGGCCCTGATGTAGGCCCGCTAGTGGGCCCAGATGTTGGACCAGCAGTAGGCCCAGAAGTCGGACCACTTGTTGGCTCAGAAGTAGGTCCCAAGGTGGGTCCACTAGTTGGACCAGCTGTAGGTCCGCTGGTGGGTCCAGATGTAGGTCCAGAAGTTGGACCACTGGTTGGCCCCGAAGTAGGTCCGCTGGTAGGAACACTGGTTGGCCCTGAAGTTGGTCCGCTGGTTGGCCCTGAAGTTGGTCCGCTGGTAGGAACACTGGTTGGTCCAGAAGTAGGTCCAATGGTGGGTCCAGATGTCGGCCCACTTGTTGGTCCAGCAGTGGGCCCGCTAGTTGGACCACTGGTTGGCCTTGAAGTAGGACCACTGGTTGGCCCAGAAGTGGGCAAAGAAGTTGGACCAGATGTTGGGCCCGAAGTTGGACCAGATGTAGGCAGTGAAGTAGGACCTCCAGTGGGTCCGTCTGTGGGTGCAGATGTGGGGCCTGATGTGGGTGCAGATGTGGGGCCTGATGTTGGTCCAGAGGTAGGTCCAGATGTTGGACCGGTAGTAGGCCCAGCTGTAGGCCCGCTAGTGGGTCCAGATGTTGGACCAGCAGTAGGCCCGCTAGTAGGTCCAGATGTTGGACCAGCAGTAGGCCCACTTGTTGGCTCAGAAGTTGGACCAGCAGTAGGTCCACTAGTTGGACCAGCTGTAGGTCCGCTGGTGGGACCAGATGTAGGTCCAGAAGTCGGACCACTGGTGGGTCCAGATGTAGGTCCAGAAGTCGGACCACTGGTTGGCCCTGAAGTAGGTCCGCTGGTGGGAGCACTGGTTGGTCCAGATGTCGGTCCACTTGTTGGTCCTGAAGTTGGTCCGCTGGTTGGGGCACTGGTTGGCCCTGAAGTTGGTCCGCTGGTTGGAACACTGGTTGGTCCAGAAGTTGGAGCGGATGTTGGCCCTGAAGTTGGCCCAGAAGTGGGCAAAGAAGTAGGTCCGCCTGTAGGTCCTCCAGTGGGCATAGATGTGGGGCCTGATGTTGGACCTGTAGTAGGCCCAGATGTAGGCCTGCTTGTTGGTCCTGATGTCGGGCCGCTGGAAGGTCCTGATGTCGGGCCTCTCGTTGGGTCACTGGTTGGTACAGATGTTGGTCCGCTGGTAGGACCGCTCGTAGGAGAGGATGTTGGCCCATTTGTTGGTCCGCTGGTTGGACCCGAAGTTGGTCCGCTGGTTGGAACACTAGTTGGTCCAGAAGAAGGTCCAGAAGTAGGTCCGCTGGTTGGTCCAGCAGTAGGTTTGCTGGTGGGTCCAGATGTTGGTTCAGATGTTGGTCCACTTGTTGGTTCAGATGTTGGTCCACTCGTAGGTCCAGTAGTGGGTTCAGATGTTGGTCCACTCGATGGTCCAGAAGTAGGTCCACTTGTCGGATCCGAAGTTGGAGTAGATGTCGGGCTGGAGGTCGGGGCGGATGTTGGCCCATCAGTTGGTTCCGATGTAGGTAGTCTAGTGGGTCCACCTGTAGGTCCTCCTGTGGGTGGAGTTGTCGGGCTTGATGTTGGTCCAGAAGTAGGACCGCTGGTTGGTCCAGAAGTAGGACCGCTGGTTGGTCCAGAAGTAGGACCACTGGTTGGTCCAGAAGTAGGTACACTGGTAGGCCCGGAAGTTGGTCCTCTCGTTGGGTCACTGGTTGGTACAGATGTTGGCCCGCTGGTTGGCCCGCTAGTAGGAGATGATGTTGGCCCGCTGGTTGGTCCGGTAGTTGGATCACTGGTTGGAGCAGATGTTGGGCCAGCGGTTGGACCAGCTGTTGGACTGGAGGTAGGACCACTGGTGGGACCAGTAGGTCCTGAGGTAGGTCCATCGGTTTCGATCGACGGAGGCGCATCCTCAAGCCCAGTAGGTGCCTGACTGGGAACATCACTGGGCGAGTCACTGGACAAACCAGTTGGTGTCTGACTGGGAACATCGCTAGGAGCATCACTCGAAAGTCCAGTAGGTGTCTGACTGGGAACATCGCTAGGAGCATCACTCGAAAGTCCAGTAGGTGCCTGACTGGGAACATCGCTAGGAGCATCACTCGAAAGTCCAGAAGGTGTCTGACTGGGAACATCGCTAGGAGCATCACTCGAAAGTCCAGTAGGTGTCTGACTGGGAACATCGCTAGGTACATCGCTCGAAAGTCCAGTAGGCGTCTGACTAGGAACATCACTGGGCGAGTCACTGGACAAACCAGTCGGTGTCTGACTAGGAACATCGCTAGGTGCATCACTCGAAAGTCCAGTAGGCGTCTGACTGGGAACATCGCTGGGCGAGTCACTGGACAAACCAGTAGGCGTCTGACTTGGGACATCACTGGGTGTGTCACTGGATAGACCAGTTGGTGTCTGACTAGGAACATCACTGGGTGAGTCACTGGACAAACCGGTAGGTGTCTGACTGGGAACATCACTGGGCAAGTCACTGGACAAACCAGTAGGTGTCTGGCTGGGAACATCGCTAGGCATGTCACTGGATACTCCGGTTGGTGTCTGACTTGGCACATCACTTGGCAAATCACTGTCTTCACCGGTGGGTGTCTGACTAGGAACATCACTAGGCATGTCACTCGCATATGGACCAGTGGGTGCCTGACTAGGCACGTCACTTGGAGCATCAGAACCTCCACCAGTAGGGGCCTGACTAGGAACGTCACTAGGTGCGTCACTAGAAGGCCGCTCTTCCTGTCCTTCGAAGTCAGGGTTGAAGCCTGTGGGTTGCTCGGAAGGTTCCGCAGAAACGGAAGGCATCTCAGAGTGACAGAACTTTCCATTGTTCTTCTCCATATTACCGTAGCACATATCCTTTGTAGGAGAACTTGTAGAAAGTGCTCCAGCTGGAGCACTCGAGATGTACAAATGCGGAGCCAACGTTGTAGGAGCTAGTGTCGGTTCAGAATCGACAGTGGGCTCGTCGCAAAGCAAGGTGATGGTGTAGTAGGCAATTTTGTCCGGACTTCCCCAGCCTTTGCAACCTCGAACGTTGGCTTGAGACCCAGAAAAAGAACCATCGTGAACAAAGATATCAATAGTTGCAGTGCCGCCGTCACAAGTTGCAGTATAAGTATTGACATCATCGAAATCAACCTCTTCCCGCTTATCTTGCTCGTTACAATACATATCACCATCGGGTTGATCGTACACGGGAGCAATCCAACTGATGGAATCCGTTGTTTTCCACTTTTGAGTGATTGTGAAGGTGACGGAATTTCCACCATATCCGGTGACGGCTACGGTCCCTTCTGGCAAGGGTACGTCATCATCATTCTGGGTCACCACAACAGAATCGGCCGACCCACCTCCTTGCTCAGCACCGACATCGCACAAGTTGCTGCCATCACAAGCCAATTCCAAGGAATAGAGAGCCACGTCTGTGTTCCAATCCGAGCAATCGTGGAAATCGCTTGCAGAGGCACCGACGAAGGTGCTATCTTGCACATACAAATCAAGTGAAGCCTTGCCTCCAATACACTCAGCTGTGAATTGAAGAGCGAACCCACCATCTACAGACGAGGTACGGTCTGCGAGATCGCAAGTCCTGCCACCTTTCTTGTACGCAGGCTGGACCCAGCCTACGGAAGTGGACTTCCATAGTTGGGTAATCTTGAAGGTTACAGAGCTGCCCTGAGAACCGACGACCTCCACTGCACCAGCAGGTAGTCCAACAGTTGAGTCCTCGGAGATGAGCTTGACCTCGCCTTCTTGCGAACAAAGAGAGACCTGGGAACTGCTGCTCGAAGCAACAGTAGCTGCCTGAGCACCAGGACGGCTGCCGCTTCCGGACATGGAGTTGGAACTCGCTCCGGTAAGCTTACGGCAGTCTGGGTCATCAGGATCTTCGAGACACTTGGAAGGCAAAGCTGCCTTTGGACCGCGCTTGGGCCCGGTGTAAGGCAGGTTGGGATTATGATTAACAGCAAGCCTGGGGTTTACGTTGACGGGAGAACAGAACTGGATCTTGTTCGGATCATCGTAGTCGCAATCCTGAGCCATATTGACCTTCTTCTCCTCTTGCTTCATTCCGAAGAAGCGGTAGAACCAAAAAGTCTTTTTCTCGACACGAGATTCGAGTTGACGAAGAAAACCCACAACTCCTCCCGTGGGTTCAGCTTCCACGCCACTGAGGCACAGAAACCCAAGGAGCACAAGGGCAATCAAGCGTCCACCCGATCCGGGTTTGACTGCTAGTTTCATAGCTTGAAGTTTTTCTTTTCGATTGAGTGTTGTTTTGATGTTGCAAAATTCGTTGTAATCCGTGCTTGCGCAACAAACTGAGACTGGTGGTGAGAAAGGCAAAAAGCAGGTTTCAGGCATCCATTTTTCTCTAACCGAAACCCGGAGTCACTCACTCACTTTCAAGACTACACACCGGTCATTGATGTCCGGGGCATTATAAATGTTCGAAAACAAGCCCTAAATGCCCATGTTAACCAAACGCCCTAGACCACTTTTTCATTATTGAAAGTCATTACAGGTGCAAGAACAGTGAGTCATTTGAAATTGCGTACAGTTTGACAGACTGTTCCTCATGGAAGATGGTATGGGTTGGGTTCGCATTGAGAAGCGAATTGGAGATGAACGAATGATGATGAATCAATCTTGACCGCGTTCCCCACTGAACCGCATGTTCATTCGAATGAATCAATCGACTGACTTTCTCACTCATCTGATTTTAAAAGGAAATCACATCTCACAGCCACAGCTGCGTCGTCTCATGGAAGGGAAAGCTCGGGACCATGTGCCAGCTGGGAAAATGCTCAGACCCTTCGATTGATAGTAGGACAGACAAAAAAGGAAGACCGATCGATCAAGCGGTACCAAAAACGCGCCGCGGAAAACGAGACCAAAATGACGTTTGGTTGCGACAGCAGAAACCGTTGGCTGGAGGAATTACCGGTCGCACTGGAGGAACCAAAAAGAAAAAGGTTAAAAAAGAATCGGCAGCACTACGAAAACATGGAAAAGATTCACCTTCTGGTGGTATTGAAGCCATGTTGCCTTCCTTGATCGGTGTAGGAATCCTTGTGTTTGCTGTCATGGCGCAACAAGGCTTTCGAGGAAGAGCATCGGTGGCTGGGATTGACCTTGGAACAACCAATAGTGTAATATGTGTCCAGGCACCCTCAAAGGGGGTCGGAGAAATCGACTGTATTTCAGATCCGGAATCAGGATCTGCAATTATTGTAGGTTCGTCGTATTTCAATACTTCCTTTTCCTATTCACAGCTCACTTCCTGCCTGATAATAACCTTACAGCCATCTGTTGTTTCCTTTCTAGAACCACACGAGAGAAAAATTGGACCATATTCAAAGATAGCGTCTAGCTTGGTGCCACATCCATCTCATGTTGTCGTTGGAAGTAGGGCAAAGCATCGCATTGATTCCCATCCCACACACACGCTTTATCATGCAAAACGAGTTCTCGGAAGGCCTGCCGACGACCCTGCGATTGCTGAGCTGAACCAAGAAGTAGAGTACAAAATGATTCAAGGGACAATAGAAGATGAAGGAGTCATGTTTCAAGTAAATGGTCATATCATTTCTCCTCGACAAGTGGGCAGTTATGTCGTCTTTCACTTGCTTCAAATTGCCAAAACGTTTCTAGGACATGACAACATAAAGTCAGCAGTCTTGGCAGTTCCTGCAAAGTTTGATACACGCCAACGTCAGCTTACTATGGAAGCTTTTCAACAAGCTGGAGTAAAGATATCCCGTGTTCTGGAAGAGCCGTCGGCTGCTGCACTCGCTTATGGGCTCCACAAGAAAGAAGGTGTTGAGAAGATTCTTGTCTACGACTTTGGAGGCGGTACGCTAGATGTTTCCATTCTGCACATTAGTGAAGGATACGTGGAAGTCATGGGGTCCGATGGCGATGACCGACTAGGAGGTGCTAACTTTGATGGTGCAGTCGCTAATCTTCTTTTGAGGCAACATCAACAAATCTTGAGTGACATTGATGCGGCTGGGGTTAATGTTGAAGAGCTGTCTTTGTCGTGCCCTCAAGTTTCAAATGACGTGCCCTTGTGCACAATATCATCCTTCCATACTCTAGGAGAAAGAATGAAGATTGCGTTATCCGGAATGGAGAGAGTCAAATCTTCGTGCCTTTCGTTACCATCTATGAAGCAACCACACGGCGAGTCAAGAGACTTCTCTTGTGAAGACCTTGTCAAACAAGATCTGGAATTATCACTTGACGACTACAATGCAGCTGTCAAGCCCCTTTTTGACCGTTCCCTCATTCCGATCACAAGACTAATGGACGACTTGACATTGGAAGCCGACGATATTCAAGAAATTGTTATGGTCGGAGGTACAACTAGAATGCCACAAATTCGAAAGCTTGTCTCTGAAGCATTTGGCAGTGCTCAACTGAATACGCACATAGATCCAGATATTACAGTCGCATATGGAGCAGCATCCGTTGTTGATTAGTCAGAAATTTGAAAGACATTTAAAGTAATGGGTGGGGATAATAGTTCTTCACACTCGATTAGTCTGAATCGTCCACCACAGACGTAGAAACGGTTGGCTTTGCAGTTTAAGAACCTACCAACTGAAAAACTATTGCTATATCTCTGCTGGGAAAGTTTCAAGCGTCGACCAGGTTGATAGAAGGCCAATCAATCAATCTTCTTGGAGAGAGATGGATCGGATACTACACCGTCGATATTATGCGACATAAACAGAAAAGGAGAACCCTCAATCCATTTCTTCGACCGTTGGGCCATCGTCAACACCATCTAGGTCTTCTTCAAGAAAGTCGTCATCCATTTCGGAGTTTTCGGCTGACGCACTCTCATAGGCCCTTTTCAAAATGGGATTAGCAATTTGCTCAACCTCCTTCTGTTTGTCATCGTAATTTTTTTTGTCTGCGGCAGGGTTATCCTCTATCCATACCAACGCGTCGTCAATTGCAGTTGTCAAAGCAGTCTTTTCATCTCCATTCAGTTTGCCAGCAAGAGTGTCGTTGATTGAGTTCTTCAGATTGTACAAGTATGCTTCCAAGTCGTTTCGAGCTTGCACCTTGGCCTTTTCGTTGGCATCTTGCTCAGCAAATTCTTCTGCTTCGTGAACCATTTGATCGATTTCTTCGTCCGAGAGACGCCCCTTTTCGCTTGTGATTGTCAATGATTCTTGCTTTCCAGTGCCCTTATCATGGGCTGAAATGCTTAAGATACCATTGGCATCCACGTCAAAGCTGACTTCAATTTGTGGTACCCCACGAGGTGCGGGAGGAATCCCGGCCAATTCAAATTGTCCGAGAAGACGGTTAGACTTTGTCATGCTTCGTTCCCCCTCAAAAACTTGAATATTGACACCTGGTTGGTTGTCCGCGTAGGTAGAAAAGACTTGGGACTTCTTGACGGGAATCGTAGTCCCGCGCGTGATCAAAGCCGTCATGACACCCCCAGCAGTTTCAATACCAAGGGATAGAGGTGCAACATCCAAGAGCAAGACGTCTTTAGTAGCTTCGGCGGCATCACCCGACAAAATTCCACCCTGCACCGCAGCTCCATATGCCTAGAGAAACAACACAGAGTTGAGTTAGAAACAATGAAAAGAATAGGAAACCCGGCAAAAGCCTTATGTTGCTTCGGTTGTAAATATGACAGCTCGCATCAGGATAAATATGGTGGTTGGATCCGGTAACTACTCCGGCCGCCAGATTATCGTCAGTAGCCAAGCGTCAAAATGTTTCTTCACCAGCACCCAAACAGCTCCATACATCGCAAATGACGATATACATACCACTGCTTCATCAGGGTTGATGCTCTTGTTGAGCGTCTTTCCACCAAAGAAATCCGACAAGAGTTGTTGAATTTTTGGGATTCTTGTCGAGCCTCCAACCAGAATGACTTGGTCCACATCCGCCTTGCTCATTTGAGCATCCTTTAGCACTTGTGTTACTGGAGCCATGGTCTTTTTGAAAAGATCCAAGTTGAGTTCTTCAAACTTAGCTCTGGAAATTGTACCGCTGAAATCTTCACCCTGTGCCAGTGCCTCGCAATCAATGGTAGCCGAAGTTTGTGTCGAAAGGGTTCGCTTTGCAGTTTCACATTGTTTGCGCAATCTTTGCATTGCCCGCTTATCGTCCTTGATATCAATGTTGGATCGTCTTTTGAATTGACTTATACAGAATTCCATGAGCCGTTGGTCAAAATCTTCTCCTCCCAAATGGGTGTTTCCAGAAGTAGCCCGAACTTCAAACACTCCATTGTCAATGGAAAGGAGTGTTACATCAAAGGTACCCCCACCCAAGTCAAAGACAAGAATATTCTCTTCTCGGTCTTGTTTGTCAAGTCCATATGCAATGGCAGCGGCGGTAGGTTCATTGATTACCCGTTCCACCTTGAGTCCAGCAATGGTTCCAGCATCCTTGGTGGCTTGACGTTGGGCATCAGTAAAGTAAGCTGGAACAGTGACTACGGCATGTTTGACTTCTTCACCAAGATATGCTTCGGCCGTTTCTTTCATTTTCCGAAGGATCATTCCACTTATTTCTTCTGGAGTGAACTGACTCTTAATGTGTTTGGAGGCCAATGGTTTTTCGAGTTCAACAATTGGCTTGCCGTGCTTGTCATCTACAATGGCGTATGGAAAGAGTTTCTTATCCATTTGCACGGTTTGATCGTTGTAGTTACGACCAATCAGTCGTTTGACATCAAAGAAAGTGCCAGCAGGGTTCTGGGAGGCTTGATTCTTAGCAGCGTCTCCAACCAATCGTGTTCCATCCTTCAAAAAGGCAACATAAGAAGGTGTGATTCGGTTTCCTTGTTCGTTGGGACAGACATCCACTCGGTTGTTTCTCCAAACGGCGACACAAGAGTAGGTAGTTCCCAGATCAATGCCAATGCAAGGACCGCTGATCTTGTCGTCAGCACCACCTCGGAGCGAATGAATCCTACTTAAAAGGTTCTCATTCTTTCGAATACCAAATATGGCAGCCGAGTTCGGCGTGATGAGGCAGACAAGCGCCAGAAGTCTAAAGGATCGAACCAATAGTGATTGCTTCATGGAGACACTATTATCTTGGATTGTAGGCAAAACCCTCACACATCAACACCAATTTCGAAAGCAATGGAAGATCTGGTTGTTTTTTACACGCGGCAGAAAAATTCATTGTGGGTGGACCCATTACCTACCCTTTCGACCAATGGGACTCCAGTAAATCCGGGAGACAAAACAAATGCCTCTAAAAAATATTCTTTCATTCTCTATCGAAGATAGCCAGCTGGCGCCTTAGAGCAGTCACTACCGTGACCCATCCCAGATTGACTCATAACCTAAATCTGGGACACAAATCTGTGACATTAAATCTGGGAAAATGATGATCACTACCGTGAGGAAATTCCCAGATTTCGAATGAGAACTCTTCATGTCGCAGTATCATAAGTAAATTATCAGCCAGATTGGTCATGAAAATAAATATATGATGGATGAAACGTTTTTTGCACGACAAATATATTTTTGAAATACCAAGCAAAGCGCGCAGCTGCAAAAACCTGCTAAATCTTGGAAGGGAAATATATTTTCGACATCAAAAACGCCGTGTGTTCACTACGACGATGAGCAATGATGATTGCATGGCT